TTTGCATTCTATTGTATTCGAGAGTACCATTTCAGATCACTATAGCATCTACTACAATATGAACTCCAATCTGAAAAAAGAATAAACACAAACTCAAAAAAATCATACAAAACTTTTATTGATTACCATAAGCTGAGGAAAATGCTGGCGAAAATAACCTGGTTAAATGTATATGAAAGTAATAACGTAGATGAAGCAACTGAGTCCTTCATCACAGTCCTTGAAAAGGGTATAACAAAATGCAGTCGGATGAAAGAAATACAAAGAAAACACATTAAAAGAAATCCTTGGATTTCAGATGAGTTGGTAATCTCAATAAATGAAAAAATATAATGTACCATGAAGTAACTAAAAACCCGGGAAACAATGAATTCCTAAACAAATTTAAGTCATATAGAAATAGATTGAATGATTTGATTAGAGCGGCTAAGTATAATTATTATAGAAGTGAAGTGGAAAAAAATGAGAGTTGCCCGAAAAATATGTAGCGTTGCCTAAATAATATCGAAAATAGGAGAGCTGAAATGGAAATAAAAGAAATTAAACTGGGAGATAACATGTTTCCAGACAAACAACTCATAGCGGAAAAGTTCAATGAGTTTTTTACCGATATTGGTGAAAACCTGGCAAGCAAAATAAAATGTGAAAGAAAATTTTCACATAGGAGGGCTTTGAATTCGCTTTATTTGTATCCAGCGGAGGAGTATGAAGTGATTGAATTCATCAAAGAATTGAAATCAAACAAGGCACCAGGGATGGATGAGATTGGATCGAGCACACTCAAAGAATGTGTTTATAGTCTTGCTAAACCTCTTACATATGTAATAAACAAATCTCTCGAAAGTGGAATATTTCCTGAATCCCTAAAAATTGCTGTAATCAAACCAATTTATAAATCAAATATCTCTAAAATCTTCGAGAATAGCATGTAGACTATACCAAAAGAAACAGCTTGATTTCCGAGAAACAATATGGGTTCATGAATGGGAGATCAACTCAGGACGCTATAGCAGATTTAATTGAAAAACTATACAACGCTTTAGATTCGAAGGAGCCCGCCATTTGTCTATTCGTTGATCTCGCAAAAGCGTTTGATACCGTCAGCCATCCAGATTTACTAGAAATCCTCGAGAACATCGGATTCAGGGGGATTACACTTCGATTGATGAAAAGCCATCTTGAAGACCGAAAACAATGATGAAATGAGTACTAACTGAACTATAAGATATGGGGTCCCCCAGGGAACAGTGCTCGGTCCAATTTTGTTCATTATTTATATCAATTCTCTATTCGTCCTACCTATTCCTGCTGAGATAACCTGTTTTGCTGATGATACTGTATTTTTTTTCAAAGAAAAGAATTGGGATATCTTGAAAGAACAAGTGACATTCCCCGTAATCATGGAATATTTCAGTAGTAAACTACTCACTGTAAATCTGAAGAAAACCATGTACACACCTTTCACAAGCTACGAATCAAATCTACCCAACTATTCATCTATAGATGTTCCAATATCAGATGATATAGTACAACTCAAATCAACCAACACAGTTAAATATTTAGGCATTACGCTTGACAGTAACTTGAAGTGGAACACGCATATAAATAATCTGACAAAAAAATTGAGATGTATGGTATATAAATTTAAATACCTAAAAAACATCCTTGACCAGAAACATATTAAATTTGTCTATCATGCATTAGTAAAAACACATCTGTTGTATGGTATTATCGCATGGGGAGGGGTCACTAATTATTACCTTAAGAACTTAGAGACACTCCACAAGTGGATTATCAAGATCATTTTGAATAGACCCTATACTTACCCAAGCGACGATCTATACACTGAAGCCGAACAGATGGACATACGACAAATTTTTGCTCTAACATTACTAGTATGTCAACGAAAAAATCTCAAAGATGCTAAAATGTTGATCACTTACATCATACACGTTATAGAATAAATTCGATTGAAGTACCAAAAATGTCAAAAACTATTGGACAACGCAGCTATACCTATCTTGCTCCTAGATTATATAATGTTATACCCGCCCATATCAGAGATATAAACTCCCTTACTCTCTTCAAATCTAGAATTGAAAAAAGATTAAAACAAACTCCCAGAGCAAATATTCATCACTGGATCGATATAAAAAATAATTAATTATAAGTATATAATTGTAATTTTGTATGATTTCAGTGTATACATAGTGAGATGTGTGTATATATGTGAATGATTGTGTCAGTGTAAATATGTTATTTTCATGAGTGTGTTTAGGTATATGTACATATATATGTGTGTTTAATAGATTGTTGACTAATAAAAAAATGCATTGTAGGCGCAAAGGTCACAAATAATTTTGATACCCACGCACAGGCTGAGCCTTTGTGGGTTTTCTTTATTTATTTACCTATCTGATGAATTCACTGATAATTGTATTATAAAACCACATATGTTTTTAAACACTGTAAATTTCATTGAATGGTAAATAAATATTATTATTATTACTTCTAGCTCTGGTTGCCGCACGAAACAGGTTTTCAGGTAATCTGCCGAATAGTTGGTTTTCCATTCACCCAGTTTGATAACTGTCATTGTCTACGTACACAAGAGAGTCTATTTCCACTTTTTTATGAAGAAAAGTACGTGCTCCAGGTCTGTTCCGTTCCTGGTAGAAGAAGACTACAGCTACAGCTCGGCGAGAAACTATCTGGCAAATTTACTTACATTTACATTTCACTGAAAATAACTATATTTTCTCAAGCATTAGAAATATTGATTTATCGACATGATACAATTTTCGATTTTTGAGTTAATCTCCATTTAAAGTGTGAACCAGAGCTGAGTATTCTCTGGTGAGGTAATTTTGGTACTATTCCTAACTATTATGTTTTCATTGACATGAATCTTGTAAGTAATATTTTTCCTGATTTGTTTCCTGTTCTTTGAGTAAGTGAAAGCAGACTTTTTTCTATAATCAATATTCAGTTATTACAATTTTTTATATACGAATAAATTACAAATTTGGAACATATTTAGATTTTGATTTCTACCCTTGTTCAATTTTCCAGTAAGTATTTTATGAATATCAGAATTAAGAATTTTTTTCACTTCTATGCTGTGATTTAAAGAACTCAATATGATTAGATTTGGTTACCCAGTCGAACAGATCAAAAAATTTATACTATTGGCTATGTGACGCCCAATTCAGATCTCTATAAAAAAATATTTGATTGCTGGAATTTCAGGATACAGGAAAGTTTCTTTCAACGAAATACATAGTGCATCCGACGAACAGCTGTCGTACGCATTGTGCCTTTCGAGTAAATTCGTTATAGTTTTTGTATTACATGAAAGATAAGGTTACAAGAAAGCAAAGCAACTACATGAAAGATTAGGCCACAAGATAGCAAAGAAAGCGTTAGAATTGAAGAACATAGTTTCAACCAAATAAGTCGCAGGGACCAGACAGGATTCAACCAGTAATATTGCAAAAAGCAGTAGAACTTCTACCGGTGTGTGATTCTCATAGCAAGCTTAGAGTAAAATCCAGAAAGAAGGAACATCAAATATGGAGACAGCAAATAATACAGTTTCGATATAAACTTCGAAGTTGAAGTTACAGACCGTAAAGAATGGATGATGAATAGTAATATGATATGTGATAAATTTCCTATGCTCATTGATCACCAAACGAATTGTGATACGATGATCTCTTTCTGTTTGTCTCCCAGATTGGACCACATTCAAGAAGAATTTCTATCGGTTAGTCAACTTAGAATATATGAATATTCAGCACTCATTCCAGTTCAAGGTGACTGAGTCTATTGATCAGAATCATTTTGCCGCCACCCACGGTTTGAATAAGCTGGTGAACAAACCATCAAAAATGTCAGTTTTCAAAAGTCATTTCAACTGAAATGCTTTATTTCTTCCAGATAATATAATAAGTGGAAGTTGAAATACAGACATCTCTTGGAAACTCAGATGATACGCTAATTTCTACGATCTTCTCTAACCTGATTCAGTCAACTAACATCTTCGCCTGTTCTTTTCAAACTTTGCTCAGGAAAATGTAACCTCCAAGATCCACCTTCTTAATTGAAATATTGTTCGAAGACGTAATCGGTTTGGAGATCTAGCCACCGTACGAATAGAACTTCTTTTCACCAAATGTTCTTTCCATATCATACAGCCTCTTGTCTATCGAAAAACAATTGGTAGTGAAAGATTCCTAAACAAAAACCCGCTACCTCCGAGGTGAGAAATGAACTGTTTTGAAGGTCCCCAACATAAGCACCTACATTATTTGTCAACTCCAATGCTCACCTGTTCAAATATGCCAGTTAACTTGAACCTTACGAACCAATGTTAACCAATACTTGAAAATCAAATGTGACACCAAACGCAAATATCTGGTCAAGAAACGACTTATTCACTGGGACACGTTTCAGCTGCTTAAAAACCAGGCCATATGAAATCACCGATAATGCAGATTGTTCTCGAACAACAAAATCGGCAGTGACATCACATGATCATTGGAATAGAACCCACAATATGAAATTCCAGGACACTAACTTCTAACATTGAAATATTCGTACATGAAATAAGACAATAAGAAGAAAGAACCAATGGAGTTGAGCAAATCCACTCAAATAAAGCCGTTTCGTAAGCCTCTGGCAAATCTGTACTTCAGTATTGAAACCTGAACCAGTCACAGAAAACCAATATACCTACCAATCACAACACAGCAGTTAACCAGTCTGCTAATGACTTTCCAGAAAATCATATCACTAAATCAGCCTGAATTTATAAGCATTTTCGCAAATCCAGTTGACGGAACTGTTTTTATGGTGCTTGTTGAAATTATTATATTGCCAATGAAGTTACCGACCGCAGTTGTATACGAAATGTTCGGTGATTCCTACTTCTATAGAAGACCACAACCTTCAGATCCGGTTACTTTTTTTCTGTATAAACGGGGAATTAGTTTACACACCTCACTCTGTCCTTCAAGGTTGGTGATCTGGTCCTCCCAATTTCTCTATCCATCTCTTCTTGAACGTTCTTCCGAACTTCCGGATATAAAATCATTGCCAATATTGCGAATCCCAATGTATTGCTAGTCGTTTCTGCTCCTGCCATGAAAAGGTCCAAACACACCGACATCAACTGATCGTCTGCAAATAATAAGAGAGTCATGTTGATGTAAAATAGAATTTAAAGCTGTCGGGTGAAATGGATCTAAAAACACCTCCGTACCCCTGAACTGGTACCCTTTCATCGGCGTGCGATTCACCAGATGATCTGAACTAATCTAGATCATCTTCTAGAAACATTAAATTGGTCCAGGAAACATGTCCAGAAAAATATTAGTTATTTGAAAGATACATTGAAGTAACATACACATACAAAAAACTTCTTCACTCATTATTATTGTTAATAATTAAACAATTTTCACACCATGAACTGTATTCAAAACGCGTTTCACAGTAGCATCTTTAAAAAAATCTGTTTAAAATCTGTTTTTCCGTTAATCAGCTGTCGCCCCCATACGAACGACAAATCTCAGAAGTTGAGAAACTTGTGCGAGCTAAGGACTAACGAGGTCTTACCTTTTAACGTGTGATTCCTAACATGGTTGCAGAATCATCCCAGCTTCAACCAGATAAAAAATATCTGGTCGAGGCAGGAATCGAACCCACGGTCTTCCGATCGTGAGTCGGGCACACTACCACCGCGGCCAATTCCACAATTGTCTTGAACTATTTTACAGTGCATTTCACACAAATTACAGAATATAATCAATTACTCATTATAAATTCTAAGGAAATGGGTTGATAAAAAAAATTACGCAATAATTGATCACAATAATTGGTCAATAAATATTAATTCTACCTGAGCTGGTAAAATTTGAGAATGAGTGGTCAATGATGATCAACGATAAATTCTAACTTTTTTATGGCAAAAATTTAATAAACATAAGTAAATAAAACTTTTTGGTAGTTTAATGGGGAATTGTATTTGTTCATGGATTTTCAGAAATTCCGGTAGGTTCAATTTTTGTCTTTTGTTTTCTTCGAGTATATGTAATATGTTGTAGTTCATGTCAAAATCGTGATTGTGCTCTGAAAGAGAGCATGCATAGATGCAAAAGATTTTCTTCAGTACATAATGTCTTTTGTGTTCTGAAATTTTCGTTTATAGACGTTCCTATCTGGTTCAAACAACTGAGCCCCAAAGCTGCTCACACGTTAGTGAAACATTAAGCTTTTGAGTTTCAAATTCTCTCATTTTGTTGGTGAGTGAAGAAATTTTGGAAAACATAAATTTCTTCGCCATATTATACATTTCTGGTGGGGTACACTCGTTTTCACTTTCCGAGTTCATATTCATATTTTTGTTAGAAACTATATATTTTCAAACGAACTGTCAGTTCAATGATTTAGTTTAACGTTTGAGAATATAGTTCGAGGTAGATAAAGTCTCAAAGCTTACTTCGAATGTAGTGAGTTATGTATGTGGTTAACTGTGACTGGTTCGAAACCTTGAGTTATCGATCATTGCCTATTTACCCAACAAGATACGTTCACATATTTGATGCTTGTTTCAATAGTCAAAAACAAAATTTGGTTCATTCACTAATACAAACCTGTAAAAGTTGGATCATTATTTATATGAATTTGTTGCAGAAAAGCCTCGATCAAATCTCTGGGTTGTTCTGACAATTCCAAATGTTTTCTATGTTCAGTTATTGTTTCCTGAAAATGCATTCATTATCAAATTGCACATGAGCAGTGAATCGACAATAATTTGTCATGTCCATTATTGAAATAATAAATAGAAAGAAACCAATATTACCTCTAAAAATTCCCACATTCTGTCTAATATTTCTTTCAACTTATTATATCCAGTAGTTTCTGGTGCAACGTGTCTCAAAAATGGCATCTGATTGAGTAATCCTCCTGAAATATCTACAATTCTGAAGCAATCATTGATAATTTCTAGAAGCTTTTTCAATCTTTCATCATCTGAATCCAATCTTTCTCCGGCCATCATGGCCCATAAACCATTCAAAACCGAAATACCGAAAACGTTATGCATGTCAATCGGTTGTGAGTTGTGTTTCTTGAATATTTCAACAATACTTGCGGTTTCCTCTTGGATTTTTTCTTCCATTTCTCTTCTAGCGAAACCGAAATTTCGCAACTGTTGAATTGAAAATTTTCTTTGATGCCTCCAGAATGAACCATCGGAGAACACCAAACCTGAAATCGTAAATATTTTTTTCAATTATAATCGAAGACGACAGATCATTTCATAATAATACATCATTAGTTGAATAGGTCATCAAATATGCGTGGAGGAAAATCATACGGAATTAGTATTTGTTCAATGAGGGATGTAAGCAAAATTCGTATACTTTTTGATCTGAAACCAAGTGTAACACTATCAGTTAACTTTTTTATTTCATCAAAAGAGCATATCACATTCAAGTTGATAGTGGAATATCTCATTCCTGAAAATGAATGAGATATTCCACTCAGCTTCGACCTTAAAAACAGATGCGAAAATTCTTTATCATTCCGTAGTTGTTGTGAGTGAAGCCAATCTATAATTTTTACTTTTCCTGGTATAATTTTCTTAAGACAAAACACAAGCACTACATGAAAATCTTTGAGGCGCTCTCAGAGCGGTGCCTGTGCGAAAGTAGCGATTCACATTGGATTTAAATCGCTGGAGGTTAAATCCATTTGGAAAAACGTTCTTGGGAAGTACATTCCACATGAACGCAGCTCTGCAGATGAAAGAGTTATCAAACAGTGAAGGTTGAGTTGTACTGAGTTAAACCTCAAAACGATGAGCAGCCACAGTCGCGTATTTCTGATATGTGCCAAGTTACTTGTACACCTTTCGTGAAAGTATCTATAAAAGAGAGACAAACCTCCAACCTTTCTTCGATGTACCAGGCTGATTGGAGACGTGATGTTCACTTCTCCAATCAGGCGGGTGACTCTTTTCCGGTTGGAATTCAGCATCTTCATGGTATGTTTGGGAAAAGAGCTCTATACATGAGAACAATACTTCAAAGAAGGTAAGATCTGAGTTTTATGAAACATCAAAAGTTGCTAAGGTGTGTACAGTTTTCTGGTTCGGAACAGTGTTCCAAGCTTTTGAGAAGCAGCCTTTGCAATTCTAACGACATGATTGTGCCAAGACATATTGGTGTCCATTTTAACTCCCCAATAAACTTATCGAAGCAGAAATCGTCTGACCTGGCAGTATTATATCCGGTTCGAAACATTTAGTTTCTTGGAGAAAACCGATGCCTGGGTTTTTGTGTCATTGAATTGAACGTGGTTACTTTCACCCCAAATCGAAATTAATTCTGGATCCTCATTAATATATGCAACCTCCTGCTGCCGATGAAGAGGTGCATCCGTAGTCGATGTCCTGGAATCTAAATAGAATGACGAGACAAGGGTGCTGTCATCAGCAAAGCAATATATTGGATTCTTGTTTTTTCCGATAAGTTGTTGATACACAATAAAAAGAGGGTTGGAGACAATATGGATCCCTGGGGGAACACCAACATACATAGAAATGAGCATACACAGAAATGATCCGACAAGCCATAACATCGAAGTCAGTGTTACTATCTTCATTCAGGTTTGAAGGCAGTCGTAGTTTGGAACTGCACCCTGACGTTTCTCCAGGCTGGCTTCTTCATCATCAGGATGATTTATCGATAAATCATAGATGAATAAATCTCTGACGAAACCAGCCACTCGGGCTAGTGAAACGTTAGGATGCAGTTTCTCCGACGAAACCAGCCCGAGTAGTTGGTTTATTCATCTTGATAATTTATCGATGATTCATCAAGATGTTGAAGAAGCCAGCCTGGAGAAACGTTAGGATGCAGTTCTAAACCACGACGGCCTTCAAACTCGAAAGAAGATAGTAACACTGAAAATCTCGGCAGCGAAAGCCTCAACCAATTTATCCCAAGAAAGTCCTTTCCTAACCTCAAATTGAAGAGATATATTTAAAAAAACAATAAAACTAAAGAATAATGTGTTGGCCGTAATATTCGCTTGAGTTGAAAGAGTGATCTTTCAACTTTTTCGTTGAAAATCAATTCTCACAAAGTGAGATTATCTCTCGATGGATGAATGGTATGCGCAATGTGTTTGGGTGAAGCAGGTTAGTTTTATTTATATTTATGAGGGACTCATAAGGTTGATCAAAACAACAGTAGCACGCGATGTCTAAAATCATTCAACAATAAAGAAATGATTTTTTTTTTGCTCACATTTAAAAACAAGTGCCAGTGTTATATCTTAGTCTGTTTTGCTTGTTTCCAACTTTTTTGTTTGTATTGTTAACAAAAAACCACGTTCCGTTACAATGTATTAAATAATACTTTCCCTGTGATCCCAAATTCGTGAGTGCCAAGGGCTTCGACATGCCCTAAAATGGCACTGTGTACTACCATCATTATTTTCAACCATCGTAGGGAATGCGATAGGTCGCTGAACAAGCAAGTTGCCGTCTGACATACTGGCCAAAAATACTGGTAATTCCGAAAACAAATAGAAGAGTAATGCGATTGTACCGGTTTGGGGCCCAAAAAGCCAACCTGTTCTCATTTCATTTAGATTCCAACGGATATGCACTAAGACCGTACTGACCTACACCTAACAAAATTCCATTGACCCTCGAAGTTAATGAACACAAGTTTTTAATGGCCTGAAAATTCAAAGTTATTCATGAGTGAAGGACATACTTAACATGCCAGTTGGTTCGGTGGTATAATGCATTCAAATATTCGGTTTTAAAAAGGTTTCAAGAGTGAAAGGGAAGCTTTATATTCAATTACTGTGCTAAGAATCGCACGTTAACAGGTAAGACCTCGTTTAGCTCACATAAGTTTCTAATTTGCAAGGTTGTCGTTTGTATGGAGAGGGGGCAATAGCCCAGCCTGCGAGAAATTTCAACATACTAGGGCAGTGCTTCACAGACAATCTTCAAAATGAAAATTTGAAATCAAACCTCATCATTGTTCTGAGAATAACGGAAATCATTGTGAGTAATTTCTGCAAATGAAAAAATCGCTTTTAAAATAATCTGAATATTTGTCAAACTGACTTGGTTTTGCATGAGATATATTCAATATTTTTTCCAATGATGATTATTATTGGGAAAGAAAGTTTTTGGCTTTCTACTACTCCATCTTGATACAAAAAACAAGGATGAGGGAATCTTCCAAGGAAAGGAAGGAAGTAATCAATTTTAAAATAAGTAACTCTATACATGGATGTGTAGATCATGCAAAGAAGTAACTTTCAGACACAAACTGAAAGAAAGTCCTCCTGAAACAGCTACTTTCATATAAACATTGAATTACACGAAAGAAAAAATTATTTCGAAACAAATACTTCTATATGAACACTGAATTATCCAGAAGATACTTTTCTCTACTCAGTTTGTATTTCAAACAGTCGTTGTGGAATAAAAATCAGATATCATTCACATGAGTTCTACTTTAAAGTACCATTCATTCAAAGTAGAACTCATGTGAATGATATCTGATTTTTATTCCACAACGAATGTTTGAAATACAAACTGAGTAGAGAAAAGTATCTTCTGTATAATTCAGTGTTCATATAGAAGTATTTGTTTCGAAATAATTTTTTCTTTCGTGTAATTCAATGTTTATATGAAAGTAGCTGTTTCAGGAGGACTTTCTTTCAGTTTGTGTCTGAAAGTTACTTCTTTGCATGATCTACACATCCATGTATAGAGTTACTTATTTTGAAATTGATTACTTCCTTCCTTTTCTCGGAATATTCCCTCATCCTTGTTTTTTGTATCAAGATGGAGTAGTAGAAAGTCAAAAACTTTCTTTCCCAAAAATTAATCACTCCTAAAAATATAACCCCTTCAATTCAAAATATTATTATTGGAAAATAATTATAATTGGTAAATGGTGAATAATAGTAATAATAATTAATAAGCAGGAATGGCCACCAACACCCTTGGCCTTCGGTGAGTTGCGACACCACTTACCCGCTCGGAGGGGTCAGAGGCAAGGTAGTGGGGCCTACCGATGACAACCCTGGCAACGAAAACGGACGCTTTGAGTGGATGCATGAGCCTCATGCATTGTTACGAAAGTAGTGAGCCTGCGCGAAGAGGGTACATGGCGAGATTGCATGCTCTGAGGTGTGAAACACATCCGGAGCATGCCGCCTTTTCCGCCCAGAACCTTATAGATTACGTATCTAATCGGCGGCAGGGCTATATAGCTCCTTCCCAGCCTGCTAACGAAGTGGTAGAAGTGACAGTTCTACCACCCGTTGGTACGGCTGGAGAGGGAACTCGCATCATGCCACAAATGGAGTCCATCAGAACACGCAGGGCACTCCACAGAATTATGCCTCTGAAGCCACAATAACTGACTTGCTTGGATTCGGAGGTTTATAGTGTTCTAACAGAAGAGGCTGACATCTGGCAAATCAACACTGCCGTGTATAGCATCGTCCAATCACTATCCGAACCGGAAGGACGAAATCTCGGCCTTGCGGTTCGGAAGATTGAACGGCGTGTACACAAGATGGAGGCTAAGATCACGTCGGCGAGACAACACGCGTCTCGCATCCAATGTGTGATGGATTACAGGGCGGCCAACAGGCCTTGCATGCCGCAGTGTGGCGAATAGTCGACAAACTAGGACACATCCATCACACTTTAAGTCAAGGCGTGCTGCTGACCACCAAACAACAGTGCCTTGATAGGATACGAATGCTAGTGGCTGCTAAGAAGTCACTAGTGAGGCGAGCGAGAAGTATCACGGAAAGCTAGGTTCCGCGACAAACCTTCTCTCTTATTCCAAAAGCCTCCACTCAACTTAGACACTCCAACCCTAGGGCAGTTCGAAGCTTTCAACAGAGAGCTTCGACAACCTGAGCTCAATGAACTGCGCAACCCGATAACCCCGGATTACGTTCGAAGAGCCCTTGTGGGTTCCAAGAATTTTGCTGCTCCAGGCTCAGATGGGCTGAACACTTATTGGTGGAAAAAACTACCAAGCACCCACCGCCATCTGGCCAGAGTTTTGAACTCATGTCTGGAGATTTGTCGATTCCTAAGGATTACAGATTTACATCAACTTTTGTACCTCAATCAATGTTTCATATTATAAGTAAAAAAATAATTGAGTCCAAATATAATTTAACGATAAAAAAAACAACTTCCAAACATTATA